TTGCATAACTAGGGTTGGCGCTGATCGCGCCGATCAGCGTAGTGGGCCCCAAATTTGGATATCAGCTAATCACTGAATGGGATTCCTTTGCGTCCAGCCACAGGGCTCTAGACGCTTGCCCGATCATAGCATGTCAAACAAGGTGAGCGGGGCGCATCCTCACCTCACCAAATTTTGATTGTATCCAATAAGGATTCCTCGGGCCGCATAGTGTGCATACTTTGGCAACGATGTGGCGGTGATGACGTGGAAATCAGGGGTTTACAGCCTCCGAATACCTCGCTCAGCCTTAACCCCGCCCTAGCTCACTCGCAAATAAATACTTAGACGGTTCCAACGTAGGATATTTGACTCAACTCCGGATGCGATCTTCAACTCCTGTGCTCCTCAACTCTGCCATTTGATAGACTCTTACTCCTAAATGTCGCCATGGCAGATGAGGAATGGGAGGCTCATAAGGCAGAGATCGAGCGCCTTTACATCAGAGAGAACAAAAAGCTAGAGGAGGTCTTGCAATTTATGGAAACGACATATGGCTTTCGCAAAACGTATGCACTCCGACACTCCTGTGAACTATGATCGGTCAATTTCTCACATTGTGCAGGAAGTATCATTACACGGCGAGGCTTAAGAAAGGGGGTTTCAAGAAATATCGCATGGGCGCTCTCAAGTGGAGACACGTCAACAGGGAAATACAAAAGAGGGCAGCTGAAGGGCAGAATCTCGAAGTCTGGTTCGACGGTGTCTATTACGATCCAAAAACAGTGCAATTTGAGATTCATCGCCAGGGTTTTCAGAGAGAGACTGACAAATATCGTCAAGGTGAGCCTATCCAGAAGTCAAGGATGCTCAACATAGATGATTGACACAACATAGAGCCATTGTCCCCAACACCTGAAGGACTTATTGTCTGCTCTCCTGGTCCGTTGATATTTCAAGTTACATGGCCACAGAATCTCCCATGGTTTATTTTCTCCAATACTGCGCTGAGCAGTTTACAAAACGTCCCGAGTAAGACTCAGATTTAACAACTACTGTGAGATTGATTAACATTAACATGATGTAGGCAACCCATCTATTTCACTGGAACATCTTCCAGGGGTTCGGAAAATGGACCTACCTTCCCAAATCATCGAACGTGGTCTCATCGATTCTCTCGGCTCCCTTATGATCGGAAGCCATGCCAAAGTGCTGCGCACCGGACGCAATAGCGCCAGGGTAGCAGCAGCTCTGAGCTCAATAATGCCTGAACAACACGAAGGTCAAAACCTTTACATAGCAGAAAGACTTTGCGGTCTCAGAGGTGGCAGTGATGCCGTGGAGCGCTTACAAGTTGCACTTTTCCTGCTTTCCAACAGTTTTCAAGTCTCTGAGCCTGATGATGATTCTTGGCAATCAAATATACGAGAATTCTTGGATGTATACTCGGATGACGAGACGGATGATGACCCCGATTATGAGACGAATGCCTATTTCCATGATAAAAAGCGAGGAGAGCCTAGGACTAGCAAGGAAGATCAAACGATCATGGCAACATTCTATCAATCGGGCCTGGATACCGTCAACAACCTCAAATATCTACTTTTCCTCCCCGGGGCAACAGCACATGCTATATCGCACAAGCTTTTTGCAAGTGCGGTGAGATCCGAGGACGTAAGAATGGTTCGGATGGCTTTGGAAGCTGGTATGAGTCCTGATATTCCAATTATTCATGATGGATTTCCCGTGCCACCTTTGATACTGGCTTCCAACTTCAGAGACTCCCGAGCGGCTCTGGACATGTGCAAATTGTTCCTATCATATGGTTCTGGGCTCAAGGATACAAGAATCCTAGAAAGGGCTCTCTGTGAAGCAATCCGCTCAAGAAATAATGAGCTCATCAAACTATTTCTGGCTCGAAATATTCCTATACCAGGAGAGGCATTAAGCGCCGCAATTAAGACGGGAACCCCAGGCCTTTTCTCTATGCTCCTTGATATTGACCCCAATATCAACAAACGAAGCGGTGGCTCATACGACCTTTCGATCCTCGGGCTTGCCGTGGACCGAAACGATGTGTCTATGACACAATATCTGCTTGCCTTAGGCGCGGATGTTGACGCAATTCAACATGTGAAGTTCCGTGAAAACTACCTTGTCAAGTCAACCACACTTGGACTCGCGATAAGGAAAGGCAACGAGGACATAATCAATCTTCTTTTGGATACCCATCCAAATATCAACCACCAAGAGGCATCAGATGACTACATCCCCCCACTCGTCTTATCGGTTGAATGTGGTGCCATCAATATCACACAGCGTCTGTTATCGGTGGGTGCAGAAGTCTCTACTGTTGATGGAATCGAAGAAATGAGCCTCGTGCAACGGGCTCTTGAGAGAAACGATCTCGAAACTTCCAGACTGCTCATATCCTACGGAGCCAGTGTAGAGCCAACTCAGATGGAGGATTATTATACCTCCATCCTGTATGAAAATGTAGCGATGAACAATATCGACACTGCAATTTCCCTATTGAGTTGGGGCGCAAGGAAGAATGAAACTTTTTACGACAAGGTCCCAGACACCATCCTCGGCGCAGCCATAGTAGGTGGCCACTGCGAAATGGTTGGATCTCTTCTCCAAGCTGGAGCGACAAAAATTGGAAAAAGCCTGATTCAAATCGGAAACTTGGAAACTGCAATGTACTTGGAACAGCTTGGGCTGCTGCCTCAAATCCTCCATTGCTATGGTCAACCGATACTCGTGTCTGCCATTAGGATGTCGCGGAGAAGCGATGATGGTCTTGTCCAATATTTACTCGATCGTAATGTCGACAAGCAGCCTAAAAATGTCGGTCTTAAGCCATTTTTCATGATGTCAAAGTGTTCACTTCAGCCTGTTGGGCGTGAGCGGTACTGGAGGTTTTTGGATTACGCCACTGTTTGCCTATCTCCGCTTGCAGCTGCAATTTCTTACTTACGTTTCCCAGAGAGCTTTTCATTGGCAAAGCTTCTGATTGTACGAGGAGCAAGCATCGGAGATCTTGAACTGACAGCAGCAGTCGAGGATTATCGATGCGGTTCGCAACATTTTGGAATTCTTCAACTGCTTTTGGACAATTTGTCACAGCAGCCTTGTGCTGTCCCAAATGCCTTCGAGAAGGCTTTACAATATGATCACATTGTTTTTCTTGTGCGGCGCTTTTTAGAAATTGGTCTTGACCCCGGAGGCAAAGTTGTTGCTAGCGGATTTTTGGACAATATTTTCCTGTACCAGCTGCACGGAGTCATCGACTGCGAAGTTCTCGATTCTATCCTTGAGAGAGCAGTCATTTGGCGTAATGGTGTGTCACTTAGGACCGTTCTACATTCTCGAACATGGACTGCGGTTGAAAAAGGACGAGCGCTCACCACAGCTCTGCATTACCGTCACAAATCCGCGGTACAGGATTTATTGGATGCCGGTGCGGATGTGAATCAGGCGGTCCGGATTGATCTTGGCTCCTATCCGCCACTTTGGCTCGCCATTGAGAGGCAAGATATCTCTCTAACTAGACGCCTGGTTGCTCTCGGTGCTGATTGTGAATGGAACATCTCGCGGAACAACCCTGGCAGGGAGAAAACAATTTTCTGCGCTGCAGTGAACACCGGAAACAGGCACATTGTAAAGATCCTCCTTGACGTCTGCACGTACGTCAACCGACCAGCCGCGTCTGAGCGGGGAAGGATGGCATTACAAGCCGCGGCGGAAGATGGAAATGTTCAAATAGTGGACATGCTTTTGGACGCTGGAGCAGACCCTAATCAGAGTGCGGCTGAATTTGGGGGCGGAACAGCGCTCCAATTTGCTGCAATCAAAGGATACATCGGTATCGCTCGCAAACTACTTGCAGAGGGAGCAGATGTCAACGCAAAGAAGTCCTTGCGAGATGGCAGAACAGCGTTGGAGGGGGCTGCGGAACATGGCCGCATTGATATGCTGCAGCTGCTTCTGAATGAAGGTGCATCAATTGTGGCAAGTGGCCGTCGCCAATACATTCGAGCAGTCAAATTGGCAGAACAGAATGCCGAATTCGGTACAGCAAAGCTACTCAGAGACCAAGGGGGTTGGACTGAGTGAAATGCAAGGCAATATGAACTCTAAGAGTTCGATCTTCATGAGAATGTCTGGGACTTTACGATGTCAAATCCGCACCACAGGAGTACAGAGCAAGATCAGGTATCACCGCTATAAAGCAATTTAGGATGTTTGAATGCAACCTAACTCGGACCTAACGTTCCAAGTTTCCCCAAGCCCTTTGTGTGGGAGTAATTGAATACTCGCGAACATCACCCTTTTCGAAGGTCCCCGTGCCATCTTCATATACATGATGGGTGCGAGCTCGACTATCAACAGGCTTGAAACGAGCACCTAGGATCTTCGTCTTATCCGCGCGGTTGGATTGAGATTGGTGTATAGGGCTGCTGCCATCGTTACGATACCTAGGTGCTTGGTAAGCTCACCAGTATTTGGACTCGTTTTTACAGAATTTCAATGGATTCAGTATCCTCAACTTTCTGATATACGTTTTAGCATAAGCCCTCTTGAATCGCCTTAACTTTCCTTCACCTCCTGTCTCATATCGCGTCACAGCCCCCTTTCTAATCTAAGGGAAGTAGTTCCTGGCTATACTCCAGCCATTTTATCAAAATCATGACCGCAGTAGAAAAGGCTCTGGACGTGGCGGCCTTTTATAGGAACCAAACGAACGAAAAAATCCTTATGCCCAATGCTATGCTCCACCCCCAAATCTTAATTTGTTCATATTGCACAAAACTTTGAAACATAAATATAGAACTGGCCGGATGGTGTAGTTGGTTATCACGTATCGTTAACACCGATAAGGTCCTGGGATCGAGCCCCAGTCTGGTCATTCTTTTTTTCACCAATTTTTCTTCCCGCACCCCTCCCACTGCACCGCAGAGCTCTTTTATTGAGGTTTGACATTTTTGGGTCGATAATCGTCTAGTCTTATGCTACATTCAGATTCCATACGTCTTGGCCAACATATGCATTTAGTCTCTGAGCTGCCGCCGAATCATGCTTTCAAATCAACAGCTCAGGGTATAGTCAGGCCCATTGGTGCATCAGCCAGCAACGAATCTCCTGAAAATTTCACTAATTTCTCATACATTGCCTTAAGCCCTTTCGTCGAAATTATCAAAGGGGAAATGTTCTGGATAGCGATAACCTCATCGGGAGTCTCTGCCGCTTCAAGCATTTTACCCTTTATCTCAGATGCGAGTCTTCTGGCAGCCTCATAATCTTCATTCGGAATCTTCATTCGGTACCCATCCCATGATATCGACAACTAAAGCATGTCGCATCTGTTTCATTGCCACATCGGCCCCTCTCTGCTGCGTATCAAAGTCAACAATCTCCCGGACAACATCTTCTGGATAGTCCACCGGCGGAGCAACGTGAGTAGACTTGACGATCGCCGACCAGTTCATTATTGAGCGAATGAGCTCAGCACGCAGCGATACTGAGTCCCCCTCCCAAGGTGTGCCGGCACTCTGGAAAAGGCGTTGGCGGAATATAATTGACTGGTCGAAGATAGCATTGTAATGATCTTGATTCAGTCTTTTAGTCAGGGTGGCGTACAGGAAATGAATCACTCTTCTGCGATGAGATTCCTTAACTGAATTCTGCTCGGTGGGTGTCATGGAATCGTAATCAGAGGGCAGATTAAGCTGAGGCTGTTTGAGCATTTCTGACTCTGGATCGCCATAGTTCTGGAAGTGAGCTGGAATCCCAGCAACGATACCAAGAGGGAGAATCGCGCAATGCTGCCAGTCTATAAGGCCAGTCATTTCATTCGTGTCAGACACGAGGATATTGTTTGGCTGTAGGTTGGGGGTGGCGCATGACCGGTCGGTCCAAGGATGGATTGCAATATCCTAAACTGGGTATCATCTCAAGGTAATTGACAAGATCTGTGATGTGGGTATCAGGCGAGACACGCTTGAATTGGTAAATCTCCCTTTAAAGCCGCTCATAGGGCAAGCGAGGCTTCGCGTAGGCTTTGGCCCAGGTTAGTTCACGTTCGCCAGCTGCTCGGAAGATGTCGACTGATGATGGCCCTTTTCTCCCGGTGAAGTTAGTGTTGTGAGACTTATGATACTTGATAGAATGACCCACAGGGTCCGCGGTCAATATTCATAATGCCTCTCTCACCCTGCCACCAACTATAATGGGCTATTGGCCCTATGCAAAACGCCATGCCGTTCGGATCGTCTAGCTTTGTCCTCTTTTCAGATGGAAGATCCTTCGAATAATAGAGACTCCCAGAGGCAGGAAACTCCAATGACATCAAACGCGTCTCCCATTCAACTATTTGTGTCATAATCTTATACTGCTCCTTTGGGGTCATTGAAAACCATTCATGGCCGAGAGGAGTACCATCCAACTTCTCCATAATGATGTACTCAGCTCCAATTGGGTTAGCTTTCGTTGAGCACCAGGCATATACCTCTGGTGTGCGAAGTCCATGTAGGCGAAGGTAGTCCAGAGTCGCTGCTTCGCTCGCTAGTGTAATGCTCTGGTACTGTACTTGGTTAGGGTAGCCTCGCGAGAACACACTTCCCATCGTTGAAAGTAGCCTCAAATACGCGGTTGTATCCGCCTTCTGATAACTTTGTAAAGGACCGGAGTTCGGATATTAAATGACCAGATGCACGAGAAACAATGTTTTGAAGCACAAGCACATCAAACTCGAGGAAGCGTTCTGCTAGACGCAGATGTTCATTAAATCCACATGATGTTAGCCTGACTGGTACTACTTTGGACACTAATCTCATAGCACTTACAGCCATCTTCCGGAAGTGTAGCGGAAAAGATTCTCGTGCGAGGCGACTGTTGACTGCCGTGCACAATCTGTCGTCGTCAAGGCTCTTACAGGGTTGGGAGTCCCAAGGTTGCAAGGGCGGAGGATCCGAGATCGCGCAGAGCAGTATAGCTGTTTTATTCTTAGGGACCACCTGCTTAACATTATGTTGATCATACTGAGTAGACCACCCTGCCAACTGACTGCGGAGGGAGGCTTGATCGATCGACACCCTGCCGGAAGAATGTATCTCCAAGGCTGTGAGACGTGACAGCGGCTACCCCTTAATGCGCCCGTATCGGACAATTACTCACTAAGCGTGGCGTTTCGCTGCGGTATGCGATCTTCAATGAACAATTGATTTATGAATACGCTCTAAGACCATAACTCCAACCGAATCGCTTGAAACCACGCAGATTCAGCAATGAAAGGATCCAGCACTTTCTCAATCCAAAGACACCAATCATCATCCTACCGTAGCGCGCAGACAGCAAGACAATACTCCCAGTAGCTTGGATACCAACCCGCCTTTTCCCAGTCAAGAACAGTAACCTGTAGCTGTGAGGTATACTGTCCATCACTGTTGTTTACCACCCTTTTGATCTGTATGTTCTTCCGCTGAAAGTCACCATGGGTGAATGTTGGACCATGGCTACGGAGCAAACGCGGTAAACACTGGCGGTAGAAATCAGCTCGATACGGTGGCCGACCATCGTAGGTATATTTCCGAGCCATTGCCTCGATAAGAGCATTTTCCGATGTGAACGGTCCATTGATCGACGGTTCAGGGTCATAAGTCCAGAATATTTCATCAAGAAGGCATCGTCTGCCTAAGCTACCGTAGTAATCTGGCGGCGGTAAACGTCGTAGCTCGTTGAAGTAGTCATGAAGTGTAGCGACGATGTCATCCTTCTCCGATGGGCTTAGCTGTGGCCATAGGGACAGAAGAGTTTGACCAGGCATCTTTTCCATAACAATGTATTTCTTGCCCGTCGATGGGTCCGAGTAAAGTGCATAGACTCGAGGGACTCGTATGCTGGTGTATTCTTGGACAAATAACATGTTCTCTCCTTCGATAAGTTCCACGCCTTTTCCGAACTTCACTACCAGATGGTCTCCGATCTCAACGATTCTTCGTCCTCCATACTCCAAGGATATGTCGGGTGCTGCATCAATCTCTGAAGTTGTGGGTAGCGGGCAGGGGATGTCAGGGGCATAGTATGGTAGTGTGATGGTGGTAGCCATTATGTTGTGTTGAAGATGAGAGTGGAGGTTGCAAACTCATTGCATCCATGATCAGCGGTGCCTAGTCGGAAATATAACGTGATCTGGTAAGCGTATCGGGCACTGATTGTGTTCCATGTCATTAGACGCCTTATCTTATTATCCCAACAACAAACAGACTAAAAGCATAAGGATAGTACCTTTTTCTCTTTCATTTGTTATTCTATGATTCCTATAATCTCTTATATAGATATTCAAGGAATGCTCTATAGTCAACTTATGAATAATATCTTCGTAGTGATTATCAGAAGAAACAGTATTATTACATTACTATAACACTATAAACACCCCAACACCTAATTACAAAAACTGGCAATCTAGTTTTCAATCTGTTAGTTCAACCCCTTACAAAGCTGTAATCGAAAGCCTCTTCGCACCCGCATTGCCCGTCAGCAACGCAGACCCGCTAGATTGACGCAGATGGTTCGAGTGCTTGGCTGCCTCTTCGACATCCAAGCTGAACCGCCGGGGGCGCTCCCACATGCCAAGTGAATCATCCGCCGTGGACGGCTGCTCCAGCTTGGACGATGACAGGCCAAACTTGGTTGCAATCTGCTGCACGCGTTCCTGAGCCGCCGACGCGTCGATGGCTGCACTCTGCCCTTCCTTGGCCAGACGAGCCTGTGCCCGCTGCAACAGCTCCAGGTGTTGAGTCACGGCGTTGATAGCAGCTGACTGGTCTTCGGTCTCGTCGTTCAACAGCTCTGCCAGGGCTGTCTCATGCAGAGCAGCCGCAGCAAGGTTGTTTCCGGACGCCGTGTACAGTCCGGAGAGCAGCTTGTTCATTTCGAGAGTAACGGGGTCGGAGTTGCCCCAGACTTGGCGCAGGTTGTAGCAAATGTCCTTGCCCAGTGTCGTGGCGGCCGTGACATGGCCGCGGCAGAACCGGGTCTCGACCAGACGTCGGCCAATCCAGACAACTGCGGGCAGCGTCCAGGTCTTCTGGACAATCCGAGAGGTCCAGAGGTCGGTGAGAATAACCTGTTCTGTTAGAAGGGATACCGTATGAGTTAAGAAGATGGCTACCTACCTCGAGATCTTGGAACATTTCGTGTTCTCCCAGCACTGTCACCAGATCGTTGAGCTCCTCGAATGGAAGTTCCGAGAACTCCATAGGGATATCGCGTGCGTTGTTCATGACTTCCTGAAGAAGCGTCTTCGACTCAAGGGACATTGCATTGGTCGTGGTAGTCTCAGTGCACTTGTTCACCTGGTAGCCGCAGAGGTACAAGCACAGCTTGATCGCAATGAAGATGCTCTCCGTCGAGCGAAGTCCATCGGTCAAATGGACGAAGGAGTGGAACACACTAGTCACATCAGTGGCTTCTTGGAATCTTGACTGGTTGCACAGATCCCGGACCATGCTGGTGGTCTGGGTGATAATGTTGAGATTGTAGTCATCATGCAATGACTCGCGCCGACACAAGGAATAGAACTGATACACAGCATCCTTCTTGCGGGCTGACTGCGAAACAGAGAGCGTGTTGCAGAAGAAGTCGTACAGCTTGTTCTGGGTGCTCTGTGCTGCTGTGCTGCGCTTCTGTTCCGTCTGCAAGCGATGCAATTTCTCGCCAGCTGCAAGGGTGGGCATGAGATCATGACCAGCCAGGCTCTGCTGGAAGACGTTGTACACCTCGCCTTCACGAGACAAGTCGTCTAGGATCTGGCTCGAGCTGCGTGTGCGGCCAAAGACCTCCTCGAAAGATGCCACAAACACTGCCGGTCGGTACTCTTCGAGATTTTTTCGCTGTGCCGCGGGGGTGTCGTGGATGACTTGCTGGTGCAAACTGTCGATAAGTGCCCAGCCCTCGGTATTATATCCACACTCCAGGTAAATCTCTGCCAGCCGGCGGGCGCGATATATCAGAGCGTCTTGATTGGCGGTAACGTGGACGACCTCATCAACATGTTCATTGAGCAGGTCGGCACCTTTCCGACGGGATTCAATGTTGTCCTGCAGAGAGTACAAGCGAGCGATTTCGCGTAGCCACATGAGCGTGGTGGGCGCGGAGAGACCCTGCTGCTGTTTGGAGAGTGCCAACTCCTCGATGTACAACGCGCGAGCTTGTTGCGACGTATCCTTGTTGCGCAAGTGCAGCTGGGCCATGCGATGCTTGATGTCCATGGGTAGCGGCTGTGTCATGTCAGGCAGAGAGCGTGACGCCTCCGTGGCAGACACCCAATCGCTGGTCTTTAGCACCTGTCGGTACAGGTCAATAGCTTCGCTGGTATGCCGGTCGCTGCTAGCGCAGAGTGCTGCGAGATACATGGTTGCATCTCGAGTACGGTGACTAGTCGCTCCATACAGCTTACGGCACAGCTGCTGGTGCTGTGATGCAACCTGGTAACGCTCCTCGTAGCCCGCTTGACCCGATGTACTCTCGAGGATGGCCATATACCCAGCATAGGTCTTAGGAAGCAATCCTTCCTGCAAAGCGCGGTCATAGCCGTCCTTTTCATCGAAGTGCACCAAAGTCGGCCACAGATGACGATAGACGTCGAGCGCAGCATCCCATTTCTTGTCTTGCTCGTAAAGGCTGGCGAGAGCCACAGCCGCACGAACACCAGACGAGGAGATCCTGCCCTCATGAACGCAAGCCTTGTAGATATGACGGTAGCTATCTTCAGCCTCCGCACGCCGGTCCAGACGCAAGGCCAGGTCGGCCTCATAATAGCGGCTGTCCAGAGTGTGCTTGTCGTGCGCACCTAGGCGCGAGGCGAAGAACTCGCTCACCTGTCGCAGGAGGATCAAGGCCTTGTCAAACTGGAACGTGGTTTCGTAGAATTCAACCACAGTCTTTGTCACTGTAGTAACAGCGGGCACCGCAACTTGGTCTGCGGTAATCGAAGCCTTGAACGCGTTGCCGTAGACAATGGTGGCTCTCTTAACATCCAAGCGACGGAAAATACAGTAGGCGTAGTCAAGGGCAAGACTAGACATCAACGGAGAAAGATCAGAAGAGAACTTGGCCCTCGTTTGGGCATCCTCGACGTCAGGCCAGGCATGCTTCAGCACAGCCCAGGAATAATCTGAGCCCTTGCGCCACTCTTCCTCCCGGATACATTGAGTAGACAACTGGTGACAAAGCATCATGATGGACTTCATGTTGCGGGTATCTCCTGCAGAGGCGAGGCTGTCTATCCAGCCGGGCAGAAGCTCCTGGTCTTCGGGAGACATTCCCGCCATAATATATTCGGTTTCAGCTGTAGTAGCATCTTGGCTGGGGATCATACCCTCGGTAAGTGTTTCCGCCAAGGACACTGCTTGAGATGAGTACACTTGACCAGATGACTGGTAGTACTTCCACATCTCCAGTGCGAGTGCGCGGTCCATATCGGTCAGATTCATCTCCCGCGCTTCACCCCGCAACTCCTCGGCACGTTTAAGCATTTCTGGGGACTTGACGCCACCCTCAGCTTCCAAGTCGGCTGAAAGTTCGCGGAGGATGGACGTGGCCCGGTCAGATTGACCCCGACGACGCAGGAATTGCGAGTAGTAGAAAGCAACCTTGGTCTTCTGGTCCCAAGATGTTTTGGAATCAGCCTCGCGTGCCGACAGTCCTGTCCAGAGTCGGGACAGCACGGTCTCGGATTTGGACACTTGACCATTTTGCTCATATAGCTGAGCCAGGTAGAGAGAGTAAGTCACCCGGCGCGGGTCGGTCGCATCCATGGAACGAAGCATGTTTTCATACTTGATGCTGGCCAATTCCAAAGCTAGCTCGTCGGAAGGTGCGATATCGAAGTTCTTTGTGAGGAATTCAGCGGCTTGCATGGTCTCCGACGAGTGAGCACCGTAGGTCTTCACAGTCTGGCGGTAAAAGTCCTTGGAAACGTTATACGCCTCATCATTTTGGTTGTTCTCTTGATACATGTTAACGAGGCGATCAAGATACTGGAGCCGCTGGGGGAAGCTGATGTCGGACTTGCCCCAGCCGGTCATCGTCATTTCTCTCAATGTGACAGACTTGCCTCCTCCACTGGTCAGGCGACCAGCGGCCGGCGAGGATACAAGCATCTGCTCCAGCTCCTGGGTGATTGTGCTGCTAGTTCCCAGCTGACTTCGGCTCACCGTCCAAGCCTGGTAGAGATGATCATTAGCCCAGGAGGTACGCGCCTTCTCAGACGCCCGAGCACTGAGGATCAGACTTTGTAGGACAGCCGGGGAATCGCTTCCGAGCACGACACGGCGGACTCCAACCGCCAATCGATACAGTTCAACAATACTTGACCGACTGAACTGCGACTCACGGTTGGTAAGCTCCAGCTGGGCGAACAACACAGTGTCGGGCAGAGCGCGCCGGAAGGCAGACGGGAATGAGAGCTCGCGGTCGGAGGAAGCCATCGGTGAGGACAGCATGTGGGAAAGCCAGTACCGGGCGGTATATTCAAGAAGCACATAGGCGTCCAGGTAGCGGTCGCGGACCTCCACACTCATTTTGTCCCAGGAGACAGAGATCTCGTCGGATACCGAGCGACGTACCCACGCCAGGCAGCGGATCAAGAGATCGTAGTGTGCATCTGCCAGAGAGAATGGAAGCTCCTGACGCATCTGGGCTCTAGCCTGGAGGTGCTCGCGGACCATGGGATGGCGGAAAGAAACGAAGCCATCACGCACGGAGATCAGCCGCCCAAGAGGCTGGAAGACATCACGCTCGACATTTGGTGGACGAGTTGAAACCTTAAGCGACTTCAGATCAACAGACAACAATTGCTCGACCTCTGGGATGCGCAGTGGCCGCTCACTGGCTACCAACCAAGCAAGTAGGCTCTGCGTACCAAGACGGTTGAGGTTGATATTGCGCACGTGGTAGTCAATAAGATCACCTAACGTGTTGGGCATTCTGTGGACAGCTGTGGTCATTTCATTGTAGGTGGTCTGGTGGCGCACTGCCTCAGCGGCAAGCTGTGCCCACACGAAGCATCCTTGGGAGCGGTTGACAATAGACGTAGTCAGGGACTCACGCTGGGATGGCTCTAG